AAATGAAAAACGTTCTAATTGGTTCTTCCCCTCCTTTGTGGAGAAGAGGAGGAAGTCTGTCCTGGTGTCCACAGAAGACAATGACACTGTCGGGAGATGGATCATGCCCCTTCCATAACTGTACTGGTTTTGGCTGGGATAGAGTTAATTTTCTTCACAGTAGCTCTTATAGTATTATGTTTTAGATTTGTGACCAAAAGAGTGTTGATAACACATAGATGTTTTAGTTAGTGCTGAACAGTGCTAGCACAGAGCCAAGGACTTTTTTTTTCTGCTTCTCACACTGCCCCGCCAGCGAGTAGGCTGGGGGTGCACACAAAGTTGGGAGGGGACACAGCCGGGACAGTTGACCCCAGCTGACCAAAGGGATATTCCACACCATATGGTGTCATGCTCAGCAATAAAAGCTGTGGGGAAGAAAGAGGAAGGGGGGATCTTAGCAGTTATGGTGTTTGTCTTCCCAAGTAACTGTTAGGCATGATGAAACCCTGCTTTCCTGGATATGGCTAAATATCTGTCTGCTGATGTTTAGCCACATCCAGGAAAGCTGCTTTGTTTTATGTATTAAACTGTCTTTATCTCAACCCACGAGTTTTCAGACTTTTATCCTTCTGTTTCTCTCCCCCATCCCACCAGGGGGGACTGAGCGAGTGGCTGTGTGGGGCTGAGCTGCCTACTGGGGTTAACCCACAACGGTAACACTCTTCTGAAAGATCTTTGGCAAAATATAAACCATGAAAATGGCCATCTTTTCCACCCGTTTTATCCAGTACAATACATTTCAAAGGACTTCTGGAAAAATCTGGAATTGTTGTTAGCAAAGTCAGCCTTGAAAGACTTACCCCTATACTAGAAACTTCGTGTGCTGGCTGCTTTCTTCAAGAATCATAGAATTGTTTGAATTGGAAAGGACCTTTAAAGATCATCTAGTCCAAGAAGTCCAAGATCATCTTGTCTAAGAAGCGACGATTCAATCTTACTATGCACTATGGTGGAGCCCCCTCCTTTGAGGGCATGCGTGTTATGAACAACTCGGGCAAGCCACTTGACTGGGAAAGTCTGAACTTCTGAACCCACTGCTAGTGATTCACTAACAGGTGGCAGCCAGCACCATGACTGCATTGGAGTAGGAATGAAAAAAAAACGGTACTCAGCAAAGGTTGTTTAAGCAGTCATTAGAATCTCAAATAAATATGGTGAAATATTTTCTTGCTTCCTATGCAGGCTGCATAAATGAGTGTCAATAGTAGCAGCATGGAAATGGATCAATTTGTAATTGCAATAACATTAAATATATTTTGCTAGTGTCTGAATGGAAAACATTTCAGATGAAAAATTAATTCCACCCACTTGAAACAGGAAATCAAAAGTTGTGCTTTAGTCTTTGCCCTTTAAAAATAGCTGCCAGTCAGCTTTTTTTTGTTTTCTTTTTTTATATTTCAGCTTTTCTGTGAAAATGAAAGCTGCTCTTCTTTCTGTAAAATGGAATTATTTAAAGAAACAAGAATGAGGTCTGTGTTGGAAATATTTAATACCGTACTTCAGGAAAACTTAACTTAAACTGCAAAGCACTGGTAAATAAGTTTATTTGGTGAATATACCTGAAAAGAATTTCTCAAACAAACAAATGGCAAATGAAGTACTCATAAGTTATTTTGTGCTGTTGTCCAAGCCTCATGACTTGCGCACATCTTCCTACTTCATGTGAAAGACATGAAGTAGGAACTGCAGGTAACTGCAGATGCAAATTGTCATTTGAGTGCTTAAGGGTCCAGCTATGCATGCAAGTGTGAGGGAACAAGAATATGCATACGTTCATATGTTCATATACAGCTTGTTCAGCTGCCAGTCAGAACAACTGCCTGCTGAAAAACCCCGTTAAGAATACGGACTGGGAAAAATGTGATAGCAGAGTCCCTAAAAATAATGGGGGAAATGACTTGATAAAAGCATTCTTAATGCCAGATCCGTCCTAACTTAATTAGCAAGTCACGCATAGGCTGTCTGTAGTGTTCATTGGGAGATAAAGGTTTTGGATATAACAAGTTATATGTACTGTAGTTTCTTAAGCATATTGTGAATAGAAAGAAAAAAAAATCTTGAAACTAAAAGTCATGACAAGAATATAAATAAAAAATGCTAGAAAGAAAGAGAACAACCCAAGAACAAGGTGATGGGGCAGATGGGGTAGTGCCTTGTTTCTTACAGTTCGCACGTGGCATCTCGAAGCCTAGTTGCAGACAACCAAGTTTGACGAGGGTGAAAAGCAGCTGAGAGATACTAGTCAAGGCCACTTTGATGTATGGGAGAGAGAGAATAAATCCATTTCTTTGGCTCCTTGCTGGTCCGGGCAGCCATTTAACAGCAGCAAAAAGAGATGTGATGCTGGGAAGTCTATGGGAACCTGGCTATGAGGTGGACTGGGGAATAGGGCCTGCATTATTTCTTTCATAAATTACTTAAGATGCTGAAATAATTAACGAAATACATAATTGTTAAATGAAGTCTAGAGAACCACTTTCTATTTTAGGCACTTACACTTGGAATTCCATTTCCTAACCTGCAATTATGGGTTTAACTGCTACCTTATTACAATAAATTAATATTTTTCCTTTGTCTACAAATCTTGACTTGGTTTCATGGCAAACATGGGATATTCCACTCCTTTGTGTGTTGCAAACCCAGCATAAATCCATCCCTATGCAACGTTCCGTAGAGCTCTTCTCTTCATTGGTGGCTGATAACCCTGTCCTATTTGCAAGAAGCAAAAGATGTTTTAAGATGGAATCTAGCTCAAAGGACAAAGGGTAATTAGGATAATATTAATAACTGCATAAAATTAAAATAATTAAATAATTTTAATTTAGAAACTAAAATACCTTTAACAATTAATTGTCCTAGGCCATGTGAAGGTGGAGTCTGGCTCAGCACAAATGAAGGAAAAATGATTTTGTTTCCTGAGATCCCCAGCTGAAAACGAAGAGGGCCAACAGAATTGCAAGCAGTGCGTGACACAATGACACAATGAACGTGTCAGAAATGAGAGGCTACTGTTCAGCTGAGGACACTGAAACTCCAGAGTTCATTAATGTCTTTTTAATGTATTTCCACTGAAATGCTATCTGAGGCAGTCCCACCGAAAAGTAGGGGAGAACCAGACTGTCCTTTTTGCTGGAGTTTTCAAAATGTTAAAATTTGTTTTAAATTAAAACTGCCAGGTTTTGACACTTCCCACAAAGATAAATAAGCAATACTTGGAAATCTGCTTGAGTGTTTCAGTTTAGTGATAGCAGTAAGATGCTTTGAGTAACTTCTGCTTTTTAATACCAATACCATGATGTTGCAAAATCAAATGTCATTTCAAAGCTGAAAACTCAAACCTTGTGTTTTGAAAAGGATTGAAAGAACTGGATTGGCAGAATGTCCTGAGAGGGCTGAATTTTTTTCTTTTTCATTTTTTTTTTCCAAAATGAAATTTCACTGCAAGTGATACGTTCCTACAGAAAGGTTCCCTTTTGTCAAAGCAGCTTTTCAGTGGAAAAAATATTCTGTAGGAAAATGTTTGACTGGTGCTAGTCCTCGAGACTTGTTGATCAGAAAAACTTTAGGTGCTTAAATCTTATATAACCACTGCATAATGCATGATTTACAGAAGATAAGATTTTACAATTTTTTAAGACTGACAGAATGAACTGCAGGGATAATAAGCTTATCCTGAAAATTATAATTCTATTAACATACTGTATGCCAGTAATGTCTTTCCTTTGTTATTTTAGATGCATATTTCTGGCCAGCCGGAAAGAATGGCTCTATTGCTTTCATTTCTGCTAGCTTACGGTATGGGTTAATTTTTCAAAAAGAAGCCTTAGCGGCTCCATTTTTGCCCATATGAATTTACATGGAAAACTTCATTTTGGGCATTTTTTTGTGCTTTAACTGTGCTTTGACAGCTATCTACCACAGCTTCAGCTGCAGCAGGCTGTATCCAGATAACTGCTGAAAGGACAATGCCCTTTGTTTGTATGGATGCAGAACACAGGCAAAGGTACTTGAAATGATAGGTATTGAAGAAAAGCAGGTACTTACATGAATGCCCATTTGAGATGAAGTTCTCAAATACATCCATTTTCTTACCCGGATATTGATTGCTATTCCCTGCTTAGTTATTGGACTTGGGTAAAGTACGTGGAGAAGGACAGAAAGGCTGTTGCATGAAATGTTTTCTAACTGGGGAGGCTTGTGAAAGGCATCAAGAAAAGGCTGTATGAAGGCAGGAGAAGGAAAGATACAAGCATAGCAGGTGACATAAGATAGGGTAATGTGTTCAGTTCCTTTTTTTTTGCTTTAGTTTTTCCCAAAAGGTTAACTGTGAGCAGATACTTAATGCAATGAATTGTAACATAGGGATACAAGTTTACACTAGAAAAAGAAAAGGTCATGACAAAGAATATTTATATTCAAATAAATTGGAGGCATTTTAGCTGGCTGGTCCCAAAGGAGCCCTCCCATGGGTACTTAGGGAGGAACTGTAGCAGACTCTGACCCACCTGCAAGCACCTCCCAGACATCCTGGAAAAGAGGGGTCCAGAGGGCAGGTGAATGACATTGCACAGGTCTCTAAGAAGGATAAAAAGGAGGACCTAGTGAATAAAGTAGTCTACAGGCCCACACAGAGAATAATTTGGTGATATATGCCAGCTATTATGGATTAGTCAAGAACAAGTCGTGTTAAACCATCTATTTGGCTGATTAAGGGGAAGTAAAAGTTGTGATATATCTTGACCTGAGCATGACTTTTGGCACTGTCTTGCGTATGCAAGTTAGGGAAATATGATCCAGATGAAATGATGATGAGTTGGGTGAATAATTACATTAAAATTGCTCTAGAAACTGTTAAGAATGATTCCATCTTAAATTAGCGGCACATTTTAAGTGGAGTTCTGCAGAGGTCTGTCTGTTTTACTTGGTATAGACATTAATGACTTAGAGGATGGAATATGACAAATGCTTTTAATCTTTTCAAATGAAACAAAATTGGTTAGAATTGAAAGCACTTTGACAGGCAGGATTTTAATTCAAAATAATCTAGATATACTGGAGAAGTGATACAAAATCAACAAGATGGAGTTCAACCAAGGCAAGAGCAAAGAACTGTGGCTAGGAAAGAAAAATGTAAAAGGCATCTATAAAATGAGAAATATCTGCCAGTGCAGCTGTACTGTGAAAAAGCATTTGAGAGTTGGAGTGGAGTACAAGCTGGATCCTTTCTGGGGATGTATTAGCAAAAGAGTAATGTGCAAAGCACATGGAAATAAATGTATGTTTCTCCACAGTGCTGGTGAGACCTCAGTTGGAGTGCTGGTACCAATCTGTAAAGTAGAATGAGAATACATAGGAGACATACAGAAATTAGGAACAAGAACGATAAAAGTATCGGATAGTATTGGGCAGTATTACAGATAGTTCAGGCCAGTGCCTATTAGAGAGGTTTTCCTGGTGATTAGTTATACCTATGCAGGATCAGAGGAAGGTGTTGAGTAACATGACTTAGAGAGCATCAGCCAACCCCCCTTTTTGAATTATTTTGTTGATTAACATTACCTCATGGGGATACTCTGTTGAGAAGAAGATTTTTAAAGATATGTTAACAGCCTTCGTATCACACAAGGACTGATGGACTGAGCAGGAGGAGGTGCCTGCAGGTGAAGACCTTGGTGCATAATGTCGCAATATACCTGCTGTTTGGAACGGATGGCTGCACAAAGACATGAGTGTGCACTATTCTTGTCTGTCTGTCTCAAAACTGGCACAATCTCTAAGAAAGCAATTGCTTTGACTATGCAAATTCTATACTTTAACTGGGACAGTTTTCTTGCTCGGGTTTTGAATTAAGTGACTAGAATTGGGCTGTGTAGAAGGAAGCAATTTTTTATCACAGGAAGTAATCCTTGCGAATCTCCTCAGCTAAAGGTAATCAGACATAGAATAAAAAGTTCCATCAGCAAACTCACATTGTCAGTTGCTAGCAGGTATACGTGCAAGGAGAAATATATTCTTTACCTGGTATGCCTTTACATCCTGTGCTGAACTGAGTCACCTCCTACCTTTTGCATCTGTGAAAATGTGAAACAGTTTTCATTTCCTTTGGTGAGGCTTCCTTACCAGAGAGGTAGTGCCAAATACATAGGGATACCCCAGATGATACCCAATAATCAGGGTAGAAAGTAACAGTTCACAGGTAATAGTGGCAGACAGTTGGTTTTAAAGTTGTCAAAGCCTCAGGCTAGTATTTGATGATAATGACTTACCTGATACTGCAGTCCTGCCTTGCATTAAGCCTGATGCAGTGGTCTTTGCTGCCTGGGAGTGGGACAAACTCTTGCCCAAAATGACGCCAGAACTCGGGCTCATTAACCTTGAGATCAAGCCACAGTTCAGTACCCTGGGGTATAACTGCGTTATATGTTGGGTCAGAGATGTCTTTTGAATGTTGTTGGCAGGCAGCAGAGGAAATCAGTTCTGAGGCTGAAGAGTTGCAAGATCATAAATCTGAGATGTTGTAACATCGATGTCTGCAAGGTAAAAGTGAATAGAAGCGAGTTCTCTTACAATTCCTTTTCTTTGAGATAGTCTGTGAATAGCCATAAAATCTCTTAGCATGTGTCCTGGATTTATGTGCAGAGAGTATGAACTTGTCCTGTTTCAGCTCGTACTGTATTTTGTTTGAGGGTAGGAGGAGATTTAGCCAGCCATGTCAATGGGTATTCCCTTTGATCCTTGTCATCACAGGGTGTTTTCTGTACTAAGGTTTCTGTACTATGATCTGCTGATGAAAACTTTGTACCCTTTTCCGCTATACAGGACTAGGACTGAGTGGCTGAATGTTGGCTTGGTACATTTTAATTAACAGACCATATCTGAGGGAAAAGTTTGTGTAAATTTTATATGTGAAAATGTCTTACAATAAAGTCACTTTCAGGGCTAGACCTGTACTTTTTCACACTGGCCATAGGTCTCTCTCCAGACCAATAAACTAAGAGTTCAGTGTAATGTCCACTGATAAAAGTAGAAAGAGTCCTTTTGCCAATACTGAGACTTCGGCTTGGGTCCTTGACAGGGTATTTTCTAAGCATAGAAAATTATCACTTGATTATTTACTCTTTTCTGTATCATGAATCAATGTGATGGACAAGCTGCTGTGTGAATACATATTACAGAAATATTGAATGCACATGAGCTCAGAGAGTACAGCAAAACAAAGACAGACATGAAGGCATACTGAAAAAAGTTTGCTTCTTACTTTAATGTAGATTTTTATGGGTTTATGTTGAACAACAGCAGTTATATGCTATTTCCAACTTCTGGAACAGGTAGAGAATCCATCTGTAACTGAACTCCAGTAAATGCTTTGTGTAGACAGTGTCTAAATCACCAGGTAAAGCATCAGATAAAAATGCTTTTCCAAGGACCAGCTTAAAATCATCTATACTGTCTGTACTCCTTGATGCTTTGGTTTCAGACAAAACTTTTTAGTGCAGATTTGCCTTTAGATTGTGAGTACACACAAGTTTACTATAAATTTTCCAGCTTCTGCTGAATGAGAAATCCTGTGATCTCATAGAAAACCATGTAATCTGTGCAGCAGGCTCTGTGAGACCGCCTCGAAGTTCTTGCTTGCGCTTGTACTAAGGTCAAAGATATTATTTGAAATTAGAAGATTCTATCCAGGAAAACTCTTCAGCATGTGCAGAAACATATCCCTACTCAGGAGAGTACTGAAGAGTGTACTTTATGTTAAGTAGATCTATTGGCAATGCCTACTTCAGTGGGCTATCTGGTTATGCTTGATGTTAAGGAAATGACATGAGCATGTGTTCAATAGGTATGTTTTGATGGGGGATTTATGGAAGGACTTCAGGATTTGGTTTCATGTGAAGCCTGTCATTTTGGGAGAGCTGGGAGGAGCCTCTCATCTTTTTAAATGCATTTGCAAACATGGAAGCCCAGGCCCGTCTTGTTGAGCCTGAGGCACCTTACTGAGGGCTAAGGCAGGAGGCTGGTCCCCTGGGGACCTTCCTAGTCAGAGGTGGTGACATCCATTCAAAAGCTGACTCCCCCTTCAGAGGGTCTAACTCTCACAAAGTTGGGTGGCTGAATCTCACCCTTTGTAGCAGAAGTCAAATCACACCTACTGAACTGATCAAGCCCTGTGCTGGTATAAAGGACAGCACAACATGGCAGATCCTCACCGAAGAACCTTCAATCGAGAAAATAACTGCCACCTCTTACAGCCCACAGTGTTGCCATGTCCCAGGGCTGAGATGTTAAGAAGCAACAGCAATAAAGTCCCAGGAGGTTTACAATCATATGAATGTGCTTGATAACAAAGCCTGGGAGTTAATGAAAAGGCTGGAAACCAGATGTTCATTATTTTTTGGAAAATCTCATGCTTCTCAAACCAAACTCTCAACTTCATAGGAAATGGTTCATGAATTTTACTTCCTCAAGGCTGGTTTATGGGCTGATTGTTTTTCAGTGCCAGTGACCTGATTACGAGCTTTTAGCAACAGGCCAGAAGATGGCACTAAATACAATGAACCTACAACGCTTCTAGGCTATGTTATGTTTGCATGGTCCCTTGCCTGCACATGTCAGTCGGCCAACGTCCCCACAAGCCATGTTGCTGTATTAGCATGGTACTAAGCCCAATTTGAAAGGCACAGTCTCTCAGTAGGGCCTACTAGTTTGGGCTCTGTGCCTTTGCTAAATGTAGCTGTACAGCTTCTAGACAGCTTGGAGTGCAAGTAGCATTCATCCGAGCGTGGGCATAGCCTACCAAGACCATAGCAACTGAAAAGTCCATAGGGGTGGATCCTAATGCTCTGGAATTGGGGTGGACAGGTCAGCTGCTGTCCATGCTGCTGCATGTGATGTAGAGCATGAGAGCATGAGAGTCCCTTTTAACTCTCCTCCCTCTGTAAATCCACACCTGTGGACCTCTGTGAAATAACAGCAGGATAGTCACAAAGTCCTGGAGACTTAATGGGGATGTCTCAGGTCACAAATTTTTAGGATAAAGCACTTCTAAGCTTCTGAAATGTCTTGCTTCATTCTAGAAACAGAAACCTGACATTTCTCACAGTCCTGTACAAGAATATGGAGAATAAAGCCTCTACAAAATAGTTTAGCAAGGAAATAAGAAAGGTATCAACAGTAGACACAGGAAAGAATAAACAACTCTATGAGAAGTGACAGGAGTTTCTCACTCCTGCTAACGGTATAAACCCCCTGTCCACATGAAAATTACTGGGCAGGTGACAAAGGGATTTGTCCTGACAGCCTGCAAGGTTGATGGCCGGTGTTTGAACCCAGCTGAGTGGAAGGAGTGAAATTGCAGTCATTAGAAGGAAATTAACAGATTTGGATGAAACAAACAGGTGCTGACAAATATTGCCACATCTCATTTTGGTTTGTGCACTGTTGCTTTGAGGTGTCTACTACTGAGTTACAAAGCAGAATCATTTTCCTAGCGAAACTTTCTCAGTTTTGGTGTTTAGGCTGTTTCATTAATGATGCAACAGATAATGACACTATTATCTGAGCTGTCAGGATTTGGCATTAGAGAAACTGGAGAAAGCATTCTGTAAATTATTTTTTCTATTTTCCCCCCTCTCAGTTGAAATATTAGTAATTTCCAATAACCTTTAGCAAATACTTACTCAGCATCTCTTAACTGTTTATTTGCAGGGTTGTAAACACCTACATTTCCATTTGCAGTGTTTCAGCTCTCTACCTCATCTTTGAAAAATCTGCTAAGGCAACTTTGAAATATATCCTTCAAAATATATTTGGAATGTCTTTTACTTTCAGTTTTACCTTCATTCTCTTTTCTATGTCTTTTCCATCCTTTTAAAAAATAATAATTTCTCTACTCTTCCAGCTTGCGGATTGATTTGTTTTTCTTCAGAAACTGGCTGAGGGTTGTATAATGAAGCTAAAATGAATTTGTTTCAAACCCTTCCATCATTCTCACTTCCCTTTGGAATCTTATGACTGTTGTATTCCCTTCTAAAGCATCTGAATCTAAGATGGAAGTTTTCCAAACAGTAATCCATCTAAATGTGTCCTGCTCCATAATTTCTGTTTGTGTGCTTGTCTCTGCCTCGTACAGTTTACACAAGGGACAACTGGGTAATGTATCTGGAAGCAGAAGACAGATTTTTTCTTCACAAAAATTTAATATTGTACTCAGTACCTTCTGTACTTTCTGTAATACCTAAATTAACATTTAATTTAAATTACACAGAAGCCAGTGAAATCTAGGAGTAAACCCCCTGCACTTGCTAAAACAATGACAATGCAAGTTATTTCTTACTACTGTTGAGGCAATAAAAGTAATAATGATGGATTATATTGCAGTGCTTTGTAGATACACAGTATGCGTAAAGTATTATAACTATTTTTTTCGCTGTTGTTTTGAATATAGGTAACAAGTTGTCACTCTTCTTAGCATCCTCCTTACTTTAAAAAAGTATTTGTGGAAGACTATAAGCATTATGAAATGCACATGGGAAAAGCTCACCCTTCCCCCAGTTTTTAACTATTAATCTATAGATCAAGGAAAAATGATGAGTTTCGAAAAGTAATAGGAAAAAAACAGTATGAAGTTGAAAAATTCACCTTTTACTGATGCACTCTTTTTTTCTTTGTCCTCTTATTTCAGAAATAGCTCTGGAAGTACGAAGACTTTCTTTTCAATCAGCAGTTCAACATCCTGCCAACAATGAGTATAGGTGACATAGTTTCCTAGAAGAGATTTTCGTTGTTCAGAAGAGGCTCTTCAGCAGCCACTAACCCTGAGCTGGCACCTCTCTGCCAAAGCTAAACTTTCAAGCCTGGTGCAGCTCCCAGTGGAAAGGAAAGGGACAGGATAAAGTTATCAGGCCGGTCACGGGATTTGCAAATAAAGACCTTTAAAGTGATTTAGCTTATTAAGCAGGCAGTGGAGAATATGAAGTGCATCTTTAATGTATTATTTTGATATCATCTTTT